CATGATTGAGTTTTAAGCTCCTAGATTGTTGGCTTGAATGAAGAGCATAATCCTATTCTTCCAATAGGAATAATTTTCTCTATTGAAGTAGGGTGGCTTGTTAATCTGTTGTGAATCTTTAATGTAATAGGCACCGGAGGTTGAATTCATCTCTTTGTCGGTTGTGTCGGGAATTGGTAGAGCTTCTTTAAGGATCGTCTCAAGGTGGTTAAACCTTCTAATGAGTCAAGATCTGATATCAATTGTTATGATTTGAAGAGGCTCGAATTGACAACCAAAAGAGTTGCAAGGGGGCGAATTGGTAATAAAATGTTTAGGGAGTAAGTAGAGCAAAAGATAGAGAAAATTTGACACAAGGATTTATAGTGGTTTAACTTATCAACCAAGTCTACCTCCACTACCTTAGCTCCTCACTAAGGATTTTCTAACAAATTCACTAATTTGTTCTTTTTTTTCAAGGACAAATAGATAACCTTTACAAACTCCTATCTTTTTACTTGGCTAAGATAGAACCAAAACACCTTTACAAAGGGATAAAAGAAGTAAACAAAGAAACTTATCTAAGGTAGGTGTTTACAAAATTTAACTCACTAAAACATAAATATTTATAAGATAATTGGAATATGGAGTAAAAAGCTATTCTCTTGTGTTTGATTGCTTGGATAGGTGTTCTAACCCTTCTTCAGGTGTCCTCAACTTGTATTTATATGTTGGAATGTTGTTGTGGTCGTTTCTAGCCGTTGAGAGTGTTTTGGAGCCGTTGGGGATTAATTTACGTGCAAAATAAAATTGCCCAGAACAGAGAGTATCGATACTGCTAAAGGGAGTATCGGTACTACCTTTGTTTATATTTAAATCAACTAGCCGTTACTAGCTGTTGGGGCCTGATGGTATCGATGCTATGGCTATGGTATCGATATTACTATACAAAGTAGTATCGATACCCCTTTTGATATCGGTACCAGTTTTGTATTCTGGAATTTGAGCATTGTTGGTAGTATCAATACTACCTTGTGAGTATCGATACTTCCCTTACCTTTGGTATCGGTACCATATGAACAATATCGATACTGTAAGAATAATATCAATACTTCTAGTCCAGGAAAATCATTTTGTGCTCAAATCTACTTTTAAGGACTTTGAATTATTTTTGAAAACATTGAAAACTTTGAATAAATTCAATTCAAGTCCAAAAACATTTTACCTTAATTGTTATATAAAAATATAGTTCAACAAGATGACTCATCATTCTATATAACTGACATTGAGTCCTGGTTGAATTGAACCTACCTCTATCTATGCCCTACTGTTATTACCATTATCCTTGTTATTATAACCATTCCCTTCAATGTGAATTGAAGAACTAGAATTTCCCATTGTATTATTATTATAACCAGTAGATTGATGAGTAGAATGATTTACAACAAAATAATTAATAGGGGTATTAATTGATTATTAAATTCATATTGTCCAACATCAAGATCTAAAAGTATAGTTCTATTAGTCTTAAGATCAGTAGGAGAAAAACCATAAGTAACAACAATAATCAAAGCCTGATACTCAGGGAAAAGACCATTCAATATAACAGTAGTATTCTTATGCTTAGAGATAAGTTCATCGCAACTGGCCAGATTATCACACACAACTTTAATGGACATCAAATAATATTTCACAGAAAGTTCACTCTTCTTTTGAGAGTGCAACAACCTATGATATAACATAAGCATAAATGTAGTCTTGCTACTATACAAACTATACAAAGTGTGCCATATCTCAGAAGTATTAAGTCCTATTAGATGAGGTAAAGCAATCTCACTAATAGTAGGTAGTAACCAAGAGACAAGAACACCATCTTGCTCTTCAAATAAATCAAACTCAGAATTTTTAATTACCTGACCTTCATGAGTTATGTGCTCAGGAGGAGGATCAATAGTACTGTCAATATATCTAAGCAGTTTATGTGTTTTAATAGTAAGATAGACTTATCAATGCCACAACAAGTAATTCTGATAATCTAAGATAACATTGATCATCTTAGTAGAAAATAACTTATTAGACTCATTAGAGATGTTGACATCTAGTTGACTTTGATCCGAAGTAATATTAGTTATTGACAGACAGGGAATCACCAATAAAAGCAATAGAGAACAAAATAGATCACCAAACAGCATAACATACAACTAAACAAATAAGATAACAATCAGATAGATCATCAAAGAAAGATCATGATATGGCACAAAGAATAATCAGACGCAACAAAAAAAAAATTAATAGATTAGAAGAGGAGAAAGTTAGAATACCACCACAAATCTTGAAATTCACAAGTCAAAAAGTTGAACAAGCACTACAACTCGTCGAATGAGAACCCATTCCCGCAATATATAAGATGAGAAAGGAGAAAGGAAGAGCAAAACATACCAAATCAACATTAAAAAAATTGAACGCTATTCAATTGAGCATCAGAGATGACCAAAACATAGCTTTGATACCATGTGGAGATCTGGTGCTCGGAGATTAAAACTCAGAGAAGAAGAACTAAGAAGAGGGAATAACTAAGTGAAGAGGGAAGGAAATAATAACTGAACGAGAAACTATTCTGATTCATTTCAAGTGGGTAAAAGAGATAGGCTTACAAGAAAATTTATAATAGGCCAGTTATTAAAACCTAAGACCAACAAACTAAAACAATTACAACACAAATATAACAAGCCATATACACTATTAGAGACCTCAAGAGATAACAATAATCTTTTAATCACTGAGGTGATTTGATCCGTGTTAAGATTTAATATTAGAATACAATATATAAAAATAATTATTTGATACACATGCTATGGAAATTTTAATCTATATAATTATACATATTTTAATGTTATTTATTTTATTTAGGGTTCGAAATGTATTGTTGAATGTTGGACATTGAAGCTTGCCCCTATATTCAATTCCAAATTTGCATGAAAATCGATTAAAATAACTATATGTAAAATGAGTACAAAATATCAAACATAATAATTATGTCATAATTCTGTAGAAAAATAAAGGCCTTCGTTCATAGTCTCCTTTTGATTGATTTTTGATTTGAAAAAGAATACCACTTATCCCCGCGACAAAATATTTATCCATGCTCGTACTTGATGATACAATCCTATCACGAATAACACATTAATTATACATGTAAATCATGCATTTAGTAGTTAAACTATTAGTTTTAGTCTGTTTTAATACTTAAACTTTTATTTTTTTTAAAATCATACTTAAAGTTTAGTTTTTGTTTTATTTTAACAATTATATTCAAAATTTAACGTTAAATTTTGAATTTTTGTAAAAAATTTAAGTACTAAAATTGACAAAAACTGATAGTTTAGATATTAAACGCGTTAAATTTTTAACGGTGAGTACTAAAATTAAACAAAAACTAAACGTTAGGTGTGATTTTAATAAAAATTAAAAGTTTTAAGTACTAAAACGAGTCAAACCTGATGATTTAGGTACTAAATACGTAGTTTATCTTAATTATAATAATCTTATAAAGAACTATTTTAAAATAACATTAATTCTTCTCATATTGTAAATTGGATTGGTCAAAAGGAATTTGAACTCACCAGTGTTAGTCCTCATATTAATAAGAAATCTCCAATTCCAAACTTGACATATACATTTTTCGAGTAAAGCTTTAAGAGTTGAACAAAAGAATTTCGATGCACCCACCATAGAATGTGAACCTATAGAATACGATTCTAACACATTCACATGCTTGTGGTTCATGAGGTTGTCAAGGCTAGGCTCTTGTATCTTATATCATAAAGAAAACATATTCAGTATTTGTTGAAAAGTCCAAGTGCATGACAACTCATATCATAACGTATATTAAATGCCGAGTCCAACAACCTTCATATACCCTTACTCGTAATCGGCAAGAGTTGAACTCAGCAGTGTATTCCATGGCAATATCAATGTTGATGTTACATATTAGATCAATGTATCTGCAAGTGTTTACAATGGGTTTAACAATTCATGTATAAAGCCTTAACCAAGTATATTCAGTGTACTTATTCTTTTCATTACATCCAATGCATTATTTTTACTCTTATTAAATGTACTTACATTGTTATTTTGTAAGTTGAGAGACCTTCGGCTATCTTATAGTTACATAGACCTGAATTAATATTCAAAGATATTATTTTTTTTTTAAAAAAATCAAATTTTTAGGGTCAATTACACATTTAGTAGTCAACTATTTATGTGATTTTGTTTTGGTCACTCAATTGTTTTTTTAAATCATACCTAATGTTATATTTTTATTTAATTTTGGTCACCCACAATTAAAAAATTAACGATGATATTGATGTATCACAATAAGATAATATCACATCATCATTGAAAAAAAATAAAAATACTATGTCAGTAATTCTGTTAATTTTTTAACGATAGATGACTAAAATAAAAATAAAATGTAACGTTAGGTATAATTTAAAAATAGTTGAATAATTAAAATAAAACTGTATAAATAGTTAAGTGACTAAGTTTGTGATTTACCCAAATATTTTTTATCATGAAATTCAATAAAAATAGATCAAATTATGGGATTAAACAAATAAAGGAAAGAATCTTTAATTTCTATATTGTACAAAATTGAAGGGAAAAGGGAAGCAACAGTTGAGGTAGGGGAGTGGCTTATAAGATTAAATTATCGGGGCAGAATGACGCAACGCAGAAATTAAGAGGCACAGTGAAATTTTAAAAAGTTGATTCACTGTAAAAATAAAATAAAAAAAAAGGAATTGAAATTGCATTGGAAAGAGAAAAGAAAAGAATAGGCGAGTAGTATATAAATGTGAAGTCGGGGCAACACTAGTTTCAATAAATATGTCTCCTTCCCCACGAGAGGGATTTTTCCATAAACCAAAGGCTCCTCACTCTCTCTCTCTGTCCGTCCCTAAATGTCATGTCATATCATATCATGTCATGCAAGTAGCACCTAAGCCCCTTTAACCCCCTCTCTCCCATTCGCCCCACGACATTTGTTTAATTGTTTCCACTTTGTCCAGCTCATTCACCACCAAACCCTCCCCGCTCTCTCTCTCTCTATTGCAACGTATTCTTAACCAGATCTCCGGGCGTAATCCCATAAAGATTCGACCTTTTCCACCCCTTCCTTCGTTTTAGACTTTATAGCCCATATTCGATTTCTCTCTTCTTTGGGGGTTTCTGGGTTCACTTTCTTTACCGGAAACCTAATAAGGAGAAAGAGTGTTTGAGCGTGCGTGTGTCTGTGGGGAAGGGGGGAGGGGTTCTTGTTAGAGAGAGAAAGAAAATGGAGAATGAAGTAGAAAGAGAGGGCGGGTCGATGATCTTTAGCGAGGAGGAGTTGATAGAGGTGAGTGGGTTGAAGAAAGGAATAGATTTTATAGAAGTGACATGTGGGTGTACCAGTCATAGATATGGTGATGCCGTTGGCAGGCTTAGGGTTTTCTCTAACGGTGACCTTGAAATCACCTGTGAATGCACCCCTGGTTGCAATGAAGGTCTCTCTGTCTCTTTCTCTTCCTTTATCCCTTCTTTCTTTTCATCTATCTACCTTTGATGTTGTTGGGAACTTGGGTTTTGATTTTTTTTGTTGGCATCTTAATGCGTGTTTTGTTCAAGTTGTGGTGCATTTGACGTTGAAGGGTGTCGCTTTTTTTATTTAATCGAGGTTTTGATAGAGTGAGAAGTGGATGGTTGAGGGCTTGAGTCCTTCCGTTTTTTGTTTTCTTATTGACACAGTTTATGTGTATGCTGTTTTGTCTCAAAGACTTGGTTTTCCTTGGTTGTAGGACAACAAGGTCGTGTTTTGTGCTATTTTGGCACACTCCGTCTGTTCATTTGTTGGTCGAAGGTCACTGAGTTGCATCTTCATAATAACGCCCGCATTGTATTGCTTATTGTTGTGATTCTAAAGTCTTTCATGTAATCTTTTCAGCATCTGTTTTTGCAAACCTTCAGTTCTGTTTCTTGTCGTTAGACAGAGTAAAACTCGTCGAGAAACATGTGTCCATATGGATGATGGCATGCCATTTGTGAAGTGTAACTGGGAGGGATGCTTTTTAAGCATATTCATGTAATCTTTTTACAAGGATAACTATTTTTATATGGAGATGAACGTCCTCTTTCATGCGTTCTTTTTGTGTGCATGTGCTTTTCTTTACATGATGCTGCCATGTGAAATTAGTACAAATTTGGCTCGGAGGTTCGAACAGTACTTCTACTAGCCAGATTCTATTAATTTAAGGCTTCAGCATATTACTCCATGATATTGCGTCCAATATATTTATCATTGACACAGTATTGTCGAGGAAAACAAGTTTGACAAAAATAAATGCTTAAAACATTTGCCAACTTTTGCAGTTTGATCAGTGATTAGTGTTACAAATGTTTCTTGTTCAAAGGATTTCTAGTTAGAAGTGGGTTGCATGCCTATTATATATGCATGTGTAGGAACCTTAGGTATGTTAGGAAACTGTGTGTTTGTTCATAAAGGAAGAAATAGTACCCATGTCAAACTAAAAGAAAATTTAGTTATACACTTCAATTTTCTGTTTTACGTTTGTTCATGTTGGGGCTTGTAAAAAGGGCAAGGTGAGTTTGGTGGCAGCACTATATGGTCAGGTTCCTTACAACTAAATTTAACTGAAACTGGCTTGAGCTGTCTGTGCCTTCACTGTTTGTTAGAACCTTCCCGTGTCTGGTCATAAGATACCATCTTTTCAACTTACTCACATTGTCGTAGTTCCTTTTTGATTTTACTAACAAATATAGAAGCTTTATTTTTTTGTTCCTCTTTTATTGTCTAATTGTGTGAATGTTAATTTCAATGTCTAGACAAGTTGACTCCTGCTGCGTTTGAGAAGCATTCTGGAAGAGAGACGGCTAGAAAGTGGAAAAATAACGTTTGGGTGATAGTTAATGGGGAGAAGGTTTCATTATCAAAGACTGCATTACTGAAATACTACAACCAGTTATCTAAAAATGCCAATGGTACTAACAGATCCCTTAACGGAAGAGTTTGTCATCGTGAGGAGTTTGTTCGCTGTAGCAGGTGTAACAAGGAGAGAAGATTTCGTTTGCGAACAAAAGAAGAATGTCGGATTCACCATGATGCTCTAGCAGATGTGAATTGGAAATGTTCGGATTTTCCATATGACAGGTTTGCCAGCCAATTATTGATATTCTCGATTTGTCGTATCAGTCATTAGAACATGATTGTGGAGTTGGTTCAGTTGTCAAAATTTTGAAATGTTTTTTTTTTGTAGATAATGCATGTGGTAGCAAAGCAGTTTTGATTCCAATATTATTTTCCATTATCTGTTTTCTATTACTTTTCTAACATGAAACCTTTTCATGTGATATCTTTATGTGGCTACTGGAAACTAATGATTGATTCATTCTTTCCTTGTACTATGAACTATGTTTTGCTTAACTTGTTTTTCATATCTGCATTTAACCCTTTCTTTTGGAGTTGTCTCTTTTCTTGTTTTCAGTTTTAAGATTTGTTGATTTAATGTTGAGAAACATGACGTCATTTTGGTGAAAAACTAGCACTGCATGTGAAGTATAGTTTTGGTTAACAATGCTTCATTCGATTGTGTGCCTATGTGTATTGCTTGTGCCATAACGAGAGGGTAAACCTTATTGTTTTGTGTGGCAGTTCGATTGAAGCCTTATTCCATTGTGTGAAATGGTCAGAGTCTATTTATATAACTTCTTGTAACACTTAGATAGTGACTTGTGAGATAGACGTGTCGTTCTCAAGGAAAGCTTGTAGATGTCTTAAGTTTTTATTAGTCTTCCCTGATATGCTTGCTAGTTTTGTTTCATTGATAGCATTTTAGAGAAGCTGGCAGATTCGCTTAAAAATGCTCTTAGTCGGCAAGTAAACTAAAATTATAATCTTCCTGAATATTCATTATATTCTGTTCATTAGCTGAGGAGACCGAAATGTTCTGAGCTGTGTTCTTGAATACCTGCATATTTTCTTTCTTGAATTGAATGTGGTGGGGGGACGATCGTTTAGAAAATGCTTAGAGATGGCTATTGTTTTGATTTCGTTCGGCGGTTTCAGAATAACTTGCGACGATGAAGAAGAACGAGCAAGTCGCAGGGTATACAGGGGCTGCACCCTTTTTCCGACATGCAAGGGCTGTACAACCTGTGTGTGCTTCGGGTGTGAAATCTGTAGGTTCAGTGATTGCAGTTGCCAAACTTGCACCGACTTCACTAGGAATGCCAAAGCTTGAAGAGGATGGGTTTATGCTGTTTTGGTTTGAGCTCACATCCACTGAAGAAGGAAAGCAAAGCCTCCCCCCCCCCCCCAAAAGACATAAATTCTCCTGTTTCGTGTTATTAGACTTTTAAAAGTTTACCAGTCCTAGTGTAGCCTTGATGCTCTGCTTGTCGACTGGTTTTAGAACTTCAAATTAATTAAATTTGAACCATGCTTACATCTTTGCTCTGCTATTTTGTTTTTTCTTCTTTTATCTCACTATTCAAAGCCCATATCTATGAATTGAAGAGCGGATATTTCTCAATCTCAACGCTGGGCTGTAAGCTCAGTTTTCACGGTTTTTTCCTTGCGCCATTCACCACTCGATTATCTGTCCTTTCATTATTTTCTTTTTCAATAAAAATAAATGATGATTCATGTAATTATTGGTCTAATTACGGAAAAAATTAAGATGTTGATATTTCTATCAGTTTATCAGACTTGTTAGTCTATTTTTGGTAACTTCGTTAAAGTTGATTATTAAATAATTCGGTTAGAGAATCCATAAATTAATAAAAAAAACTTCATTGTTATTAGGTTCATGTATTTCCCAATAACCAAACTAATCTTCCAGATTTAAAGTTTATAATTATTTTAAGAATTGAGATATTATTTAAAATTTATTTATTTATTTTCCAAAAAAAAGCCTATAGTTGAAAGGTGGACGCCACTTTTGCTTAATGCACCAGCCACGGCGGCGACAATCCTTCCAACTCTCAAGTGACAGCAACTAGGGATGGATCGATTGATAGTAATCCCTCCCCTTAAAATTTTTAAATTCTATTTTACTATAGATTTATTATTTGGATTTTTATTAAAAGTTTTATTTTTTTCCTTCAAATTTTTAGAGTTTTCTAAATTAGTTTTTCTAACATAAAATTTTATGTTCATCCGTAATTATAACCGTGAACCTTAAACACCGCCACAGCCGATCTCAGAGTAGAGAATAGAGTTAACATCTTGTATAAGCAGCTGCTACCTGATTTCCAACGAGATTGAGCGTGTGCAGTAATTGAAAAAAAGCGCGGCATGCATAGGGAAAGTGCAAGACAGACAATACCACAAGTTGGTTGGAAGAGGTCAAAAGGGTTTGTGTAAGAATAAAACAGCCTTAAAGTCAACCCCCCTCTCATTCATTGCCTGCTGGTTATGCTTCAACTCACCAGACATGGCAACTCTTCACCAACATTGCCATTGCCTTCCCCTTTTCATTTCATCATTTTTTTATACAGTTGATTTCTTCCATCCATCTTCAATTCTCAACAATATATATACATATATTCACGCTGAGGAGCTGACTTTTATCTTGGGTCAAGTCAGGGATGGGACAAGTATCAGATAATATCAGATAAGATTTCCTTTCCAAGTCTTTTATAGTTAAAAATGATAATTTTCTACGAAAATTGATGAAGCTCTTTATCAGATATATAAAAATAAAGTTCAATAAGAACTTTGGTGAATGAAATATCATATTGTTGTTAAATACTGTAAACTACATGTTGCCATTCGTATCCATGGCTATAAACAAATGCTTGGATATAAACAAATGTTTTTTACTTGTTCGTATAGTGAAGGGATCAATTTATCCTATTTGAAAAATTAAACCTAAGAGGTGATTTTACCTGTCAAACCATGACGTGTAAAACACACTGAATCAGAGGAGAAGTAACCTTATGGGGACCATTCCATGAACCTGAAAAATAATAATAAAATTATAAATGATGTAATATTTATTAGCATGTAGCTGCCTCTGCCATTGCATTTACCTTCAGAATTCAATATGAACAGCTAGTTTTGTCTTGTATAATTACCCAAATGAGCATTTCACTGCAACAACAAAAAAAAGAAGCCAAAACACCCTTTATGCTCTTCTTTTCTCACATGCACCTCATTTAATTTTGTACAACCCATGTCATTAATGTCTTCACTCTCTAACTTCAGTACAACTGTGTTTTACCTTTCATATCTGTTTTACGAGTTATTTCAAAGTTTAAAGTTATCCAACTTAATAATATTGTCTTTAACGCTCCAATCCGTGTTCACATAGAAAGAGAGGGAGAGAGCTAAACGTGTAAGGTAGCCAGAATGGTGTGACTTAACCTCCTAACCAACTGCTATACACATTTGGGTTTCAGTAACAATGGCATGCGTGTATTTAATGGTTTTTGAATTAAGCTAGCCTGGGTTTACGTGAAACGCTTTGCCAATGAGACTCAATTTGTGCATTCAGCCACTAGAGTTGAGTTCCCAACATGGCAGGGCATCAAGCAGACCATTGAACATGGTCGGTTCAATAGATATCAACTTGCATTTTGGGTGCCTGTTTTCATTAATGATTCACGTTCTTAACCACCCAAGTTGTGTTGTCCACAGCTTCGATGTTATGTATGAAAGCCATAATAATCTACACTATTAAGAGAAATGTTAATTTTCATTATCAGCAAGTGCAAAACTACAAAGCAGAAATCTGCAACAAACGCAATGTCAAATGTGGATGAAAAAGAGGAGACAACTCTCCTTCAACTAATTATTAAAGAATGAAGATATTACATATTATCCGTCTCTAATTCGCAGTTAGACCCTTGCCAAAAGGGAAAAAGAAACAGTTGCAGAAAAACAAAAGCCGGTACAGCCGCACTATAACTCCCGTGGCCGTGGATATTCATTCATTCAACGGTAAGATCGAAGAATCGCCCCGCAAAAAGTGCAAACAATAGCCTTCCAAGGTTTCCAGTAGAAGGGGACGTAGCAAAACCTGGTACGAGTTTTCATATCGGCTACACTAGCACCTCCACCGCACCTCGAGCAAAACCCTGCCGCCGGCTTACTCTTGCTCATTTCCTTTGTCTGATCAACCAGAAAACAGAAACATACCATGATTTTGTCTTCTCTATAATTCTTTTCCAAGAACAGTGGTCTCCAATAGTTAACACTTAGCTGTTAAAGGAAAAAGAAAGTAGGGGCAGATATATATATACATAATATAGGTGAGAGAGGGGAGGGTTAAAGGCCGAGCAACTTTGGGTGTTTGATTTTGACCATTTCAGCATTTCTTTCATGAGTATGGGAAAAAAGTAACTCGATGTTTAAGTGTTACAGGTGGCCCTGTAGGTTAACGACACGTGTAGAGCACGTGGATCTGAACCGTACACGTATATAGATGTAAGAGATAGGGTGTGTTTAGCGACAATTAATTGGTTTGAGGGGGTGTATTTATCTTTAAAAAAATAATGAAATATTAGCAAACAGTTAATTTTTTGTTTAGATTTATGGGAATCCCATTCTCTCCTTCATTTTAAGTATTTAACAATTCCTATGATTTTGTACAAGATTATCCCAAAATAAATGGATAATTTAAACTTATTATTTCTTTTATTCTTTTAAACTTTATAATAAATCATGTAATTTATTTTTATTCTCTCATAATTAATATTTATGATTTAATAAATTATATTATACTGATGATAAATACAATATGGTCTCAACAATTTAAAGTTCGTATTTATACTCTATCACCATAATATTTAAAAACATTACTGCAAGAAGATATTAGCTACATTGAACATTCAATATTGGCAGCCTAAAAGAATTTCGATTCTCTTTCATTATGCATCAAAAAAATGAATATATGATATATCTTTTATTCTACCCAGTTTTTTTAGATTTTATAAAAGAAAATATATAAATTCTATGAATTAAAACTTTATAAATAAAAATCTATAAATTAGAAATAATAAAAGATATTTTTTTATGATTTTTCATAAAAATATTTTTATTTTAATATTAAGAATTGCATTTATTAAAAAATATATCAGAAAGATGACAATTTATTAAAATATACATCCTAATAATATTATATTCCCTCAATCAAATACTATATTCTTACATTTCTATCAAATAAACCAAACAAAATAATATAACATTCTCACAAATACGTCAAGTAATAAAACATTACAATAATTTTATTCCTAAATATAATCTTATATTTCATGAATCAAGCAATTCCTTAAGGTCACTCAGTATTAGTGTCTTATCTATTTCGTGTCCCTAATAATGATGGCAAGTACATTATGTAATAAGGGATTTATTGTGTGATGAAATCATTATTACTGCATATAGTTATATGGTATCGTTAGAAATTATTATTATTATAAAAGATAATGGTATGAATTAAAATTATTTTAATAATGATGGATTTGTGATAATAATCTAACGAGTAACAATTAATTGTAATAATAACGAATCAATAATCTCATTATTAATTGTTTATAGTAAAATTTTAAAAAATAATTATATTTTTTAAAAAATTAGTGATCGTATAATATTGATTATGTCTGTAACTATGGTAAACGTAATGCGACAAAAAACATAGTCACAGCCTTAATTTAAATCACTTATTATAATAGTGTATAGTTTTAATTTTGACAATAATTTTATAAATAAATTTTAAAAAATATATTTAATTTTAAAAAAATCAAAAAATAAATGGTAAACTGATGCTCGTAAACTCAATTAATTTAATTTTTTTCACTCGATCCAATTCAATCAAATAATCACCTCTAATTAAAAAATATTATTTTTAAATTTATTCAATTGAAAATATGATATTTTAGAATCAATTTTAAATAAAACTTTGATTTAAATAAATTAAAAAATTAAATTAATATTTAAAAATACTTACCAACGTTTTATTCTTATTAAATTATTAAAAAAAACTTTATCGACGTACAGAGCCACTCGTACATTTCAGAAGGTCATTGCATTGGAAAATATGAATGGAATAGGGCGGGTACATTTTAACAGCTTCAAAAGTAGCAATAAGGAGCGTTAAAGAAGACATTTGATGAAGCTCTTCTTCGTTAAACGCGGTTGCTGCTCTTTGGCTTCTTTAAATCCCGAAAACCCCATCAAATACCCATCAGATATATATTCCCAAATCCTCCAATTTTGCAGGTCAGCTCAACTTTTCCATGCAATCCATCTTTTAAACACTCTACACGTTCCTACCCAAACACTCCCTTCTAATAACCCATTACTATACGCTTCCCTATTGCAAACTTGCACAAATGTTCAATCTTTCCTTCACGGGCTTCAATTCCATGCCCACGTTATTAAATATGGTCTCGACACGGATCGTTTTGTGGGTAATAGTTTGCTTGCTCTGTATTTTAAGTTGGGTCCTGATTTTAGAGAAACTCGGAGGGTTTTCGATGGGTTGTTTGTTAAAGATGTTATTTCGTGGACTTCAATGGTTTCTGGGTATATTAAAGCTGGTAAACCTGAGTGTTCCCTTGAATTGTTTTCGGAAATGGTGGGATTGGGAGTTGAGCCGAATGCCTTCACCATATCTTCTATAATCAAGGTGTGTTCGATTCTTGGGAAGTCCAGGCTTGGATGGTGCTTACATGGGGTGGTTATGAAGAGTGGTTTTGATTCAAATCGGGTGGTTTTGTGTGCGTTGATTGATTTTTATGGGAGGAATTGGCAGTCGAATGAAGCGTGCCAGTTGTTCGATGAATTGCCTGACCCGGATGCTATTTGTTGGACTTCTATTATATCTGCTCTCACGAGGAACGATTTGCATGCAGAAGCATTGCGGTTCTTTTATTTTATGCAAAGGAATCATGGGTTGAACCCTGATGGATTTACATTTGGGACGGTATTGACAGCTTGTGGGAATTTAGGGAGGTTGAGACAAGGGAAGCAAGTACATGCTAAGGTCATTACCTATGGACTTTGTGGAAATGTGGTTGTCGAGAGCAGTCTTCTTGACATGTACGGAAAGTGTCGGTTGGTCGATGAGTCTCGGCGCGTTTTTGATAGGATGCCGAAAAGGAATTCGGTTTCTTGGTCTGCATTGCTTGGTGTTTACTGTCATAATAACGACTACGAATTTGTCATTAGAGTATTCAGGGAAATGGATGAATCTGATATCTATTGTTTCGGAACTATTCTCCGTGCTTGTGCAGGTTTGGCCGCAGTAAGACAAGGGAAAGAAGTTCACTGCCAGTATGTGAGAAGGGGTGGTTGGAGAGACGTTGTTGTAGAGTCGGCCTTAGTCGATCTTTACGCAAAATGCGGTTGTATCGATTTCGCCCATCGAATCTTCATGCAGATGTCTAACAGAAATCTGATATCATGGAACTCGATGATTTATGGGTTTGCTCAGAATGGAAGAGGTGGGGAAGCACGAAGTATATTTGATGAGATGATCAAGGAGGGCATTAAGCCTGATTGTATTAGTTTCATTGGAGTTCTTTTCGCTTGCAGTCATTCTGGCTTGGTTGATCAAGGCCAACATTATTTCAACTTAATGACCGGTGAATACGGGATTAAACCCGGAATCGAGCATTACAATTGCATGGTTGACCTCTTGGGTCGTGCTGGATTACTTGAAGAAGCTGAAAACTTGATAGAGACTGCATGGTGTAGAGATGATTCATCCGTTTGGGCTGTTCTTCTTGGCTCTTGCACATGTAGTGCAAGTTCCAGTACTGCAGAGCGGATCGGTCGGAAAATGATCGAACTGGATCCTGACAATCATATGAATTACGTTCTCCTAGCAAATACATATAGAGCAGTGGGACGATGGAACGATGCTATAAAGGTTAGGAAGCTAATGGAAGAAAGAGGAGTGAAGAAGATTAAGGGCACAAGCTGGGTTGAGACTACCAGTAAAATGGGTTCTTAACTTGATGGATATGCCTTGAAGATAACAATGTTATGTGCTTAAGGGATGTCATCTAATGGTGAGAACAAAGCAATGCGTATCAATTTAATCTGAATTCACCTAATGAATATCCGAATCTGCACAAATTCAGGACACATACATAGGTATGTAAATGCTATAATAAAATCATGGACAATATCTATGTCATCTATTCCAGAATATGTGCATATGTTGTCCACAAATGATCATTTCAGGGGAAAACAAAAACAAAATGAAATGGGAACAAAATCATAACGAATAATTAGTAACAAAATAATAGTCCCATGAAACAAATGGTTAGCATATCTAATGCCATACCCAAGACTTTGTTACATGATTTTAATGAACAATACAATGATTACAAATTAACATACCTGAAACTTTCACTGTTCCTGATCACACCAATGGAATTCCTACATGACGGCCTTAATAACTCCTCTTTCGCAAGAGCTTTGGATCAAGCTTGGTTGCACGTTAGTAGGAGCATTCACCTGCTGCCCCTTTTACAATGGATGTATCTTATCCGATCAACGTCTGACAGATCAAATTGCTGTCACTTCCGCTCATAAACTAATCCATAAGGTTTATTGCATAACACAAGTCAGTCTCCAATTGATTCGTTACTCGGACGCTCCCTGTGTATGATGTCCAATAGATCTTGAACGACTTCAGACATCGGTGGCCTGAATTCCGGTTCAGACTGCAAAAGGAAATCGTGGTTAGACAGGAACATAGAAATTCTACCTGTACTATGAGGAAAAGAGAGCTACAACCCAAATTTCGTATGCTTACATAGCATATAGTTATGTGTGCGCGCGACAAACACATATATAGCATATTAATGATGCTATTCTCACCTGGACACATTGGGAAATGATATCAGCAAAGCGCGACAATGCTTTAGCAGGATATTCTCCGATGAGAGAAGGGTCAACCATCCTAGATAAAGCTTCGATATCATGGAGCTGCGGGACTGCTCATCTCACTAGAAATTGTTCTCCTCTACTCCTATTCCTGAATAACATTTTCAACAAAATTAAATTAAACAGATAATCTCAAGTGGACACTAGATGATAATTGCAGTAAGGTTTCGCCATTTACCTGTCATACGATTTCCTGCCAGTTAAGAGCTCCAACATAAATACACCAAAACTGTAGACATCACTCTGAGAAGTATAAATTCCAGACTCAAATTCTGGC